TCTGCTTACTCGGCAATAAAAGCATTGCTATGGGAGACAATTTTATAGGTGTCTAAGAAATAGATCAAAGAACTATGACTTCTTCAGATAGGCAGATCAGTTTGATGATTCCACCTACGATACTGATTAGACGTAGAGAGTTTTGTTAGAGAGATTATCTCGCGAAATTAATCGTCTGCATTTTAAATTCAACATTAAGATAATATTAATTGTTATTTTAATAGTTTTATTTTTAATTTTAATTGTTGTGTTACTTACTGTTTAGTGAGGTGTTATTTTTTAGTAATAATATTAAAACTTCGTTTTCATGTATGAAATATGCAATCAATTCTGTTAGAAACAACATAATAGTACAGTGGCAGAAACTTTTTTTTCCATAAACAACTGTTGCAGATCCATACAGAAAAAAACAAACACAACTCTGAAATAGCTTCTTGGTATAGCTGTTGCGCGGCAGTTTTTTTATAAGCTACAGCTGGACTAAACAAACCCTCAAGAGATAAAATGCAAAAAAAATTTGTCAAAGAAAATGTTGGGTAGCTCTCGTGGCAAACAAGACTAGAGCGAGATGGTTTGGTCACATTAAACGTCGACCATCTAATGATGCAATTACGAGAGTGGATGTTTTAGAATTGACTTAAGTAAGAAAAGGTTAAGAAGGACAGAGGTAGATCTAGGAAGACTTGGGCTTATTTGTATAAAAAATAATCTTAATTTATTAGAACTAAACGAAATTATGACACTCAATAGAACACAATGGAGAAAAAAGATTCATATAGCCAACCCCACTGAGAGTGATAAAAGTTTGTTGTTGTTATTTGTTATTTGTTACTGTTGTTGATGTTGTATTCCTAGCTTAGCAACCTTAAGTGATGTGCTCATCTTGTAGAGATCAAGAACCAGATTGATCAGATAGAATTCTAAATTAAAATTGGCTCGTTGATTGTATTCAAAGCACATTTAAATATTCAATAAGTTAGTTATAACGTTTGACAATGGCTTGGGTAACCTAAACTGGCCCTAAAAAGACCCAAGCTTCCAATATTGGTCTAATAAAACACTAAATAACCTATAAAGATATTTATTGACCCAGCAAGACCAATTAAGCATAAATATGGCTCAAATACTCTATATCCTTGCCTTAGTGGATCAAATCAACTAGTTCGAAACCACTTTAAATTGGCTTAACCTAAGTCTATGCCATGTTAGCTTAGAACAAATCTAAGGAACCCCCTTACTTATTTTAAAGTGTTAGGTTGACCCAAACTAGACTATCATAAGCTAATCCAATATAGACATTAGTGTCTCAAATCACCTTAGGATTATAAATTTATCAATTTATTGGCCTAATCATGTCCTAAGATATCATAGCCTTAACTAAACCTCATTATAGCTCTAAATTAGCACAAGTTATGCCAAATAGCAAATTAATCTCACTAGTCATAACATAGCACATGTATACATTTATTGAGAGGTTTGATAGAGAAGTACAAAGAGAGTTAGAAGGATCTAAAAAAGATTTTGTTAATTTTTAGAAAAAAAAATCTTGTGATATAGTTCCAAACGAAGTACTTTGGAAAATTCTAGAAAAAGGGAGTTAATAATGTTTATATTCAAGTCAGTAAAGATATCTATACTAGAGTTGTTACTTGTGTTCAAGCACAAGAAGGCTTGACCATTTATTTTCCTATTTAAGTTATATTACAGCAAAGATCAACTTTAACTCCATATCCTTTGCCTTAGTTATGAATGTTCTTATTGTGGATAAGACTAGAGATAGAGTTCAAAGAAAACTTGAATTATGGAAGTTAACTTTAGAGTTTAAGGGCTTTCATTTGAGTAGATCTAAAACTAAATTCATGGAATGTAACTTTAGTAATCGTAGATCTAGTGGTGTGGTTGTAACAATGGGTGATCAAGTCATTAAAAGAAGTGAATGTGAATGCTTTAGATATCTAGGGTCTATTGTTCAAAGTGATGTTATTATTAGAATTTAAGTTGGATGGTTAAAGTGGAGGAACGCAATGGGCCTATTGTGTGATAGAAAAGTATCACTTAGACTAAAAATTTAATAAGATGGCAATTAGACCTGCAATGCTTTATGGCTTAGAATGTTGGCCTATAAAAGAGAAGCATAAAATTAACTTAAGTGTTGTTGAGATGAGAATGTCATGAGCTACGTCGTCCTCCAGGAATACCATCCAACCCCGATCATTATCGGCAGTGGAATCTGCCTAAGTGTCTGCCCACCTGAAGAAGTCACATTTCTCTGTGATGCCACGCAGACACCTGTAGAACCGTCTCCTGTAGCTATGTGCCCGACGTGACGTCAGTAGGGAAGTTTGTAGACCGTAGTGGCAAAACACTCGTCAGAAAGTCCCTGAAATCCTAGAGCTCATCTTTCCTGAATAATTCAAAAGACAATCCATTAGCATAACAAAAGTTGAAATTACTAACTAAAGTAGTTAATTACAATTTTTTGCAAGTGTGAGGTCTTAGAGAACTCAGTATACCAACCAACGAATCTGTCACTACAATAAGACAACAAACCTTGTAAGAAAAAAAGTTTTTGGTTGTCTTTAGCTCACTTAATACCAAGTTTGTGTGTCACATATGCATATCACTAAAAAAAAGGTCATCCAGAAGTACCTAAAAAACCAAGGCATAGAAAAGAAGAGAGGAAGTTGGACCTCGCGAACCCAAAAAAAGAAAAATAAACAGCGACTAACATTCATCCAGGAGAACCCACAAGGTCAAACGTATCATCATGGACCTCGCGAACCCAAAAAAAGAAAAATAAAAGGAATAAAAAAAAAGAGAAAAACAATTACAAACAGCATAAAACTTAAAATATCTAAAATATCACTGATCGATGGAACATAAATTAAACATGCACTTCATAAATTGACAAAAACAGTAATTTATTACGGTTTTGTGCGGGCGCGAGGTCTCTGAAGACTAAGTACACCAACCCCACCGAAACTGTGATAACAAGAAGAAAGGAGGACCTTATAAAACAGGGGTTCTTAGTTGTCTTTAGCTCATTTAATATCAAGCTCATGTGTGTCGCATATGCATATTACCAAAAAAAGACCATCCAGAAGTATCTCAAAAGCCTAAGCATCGAAAAGAATAGAGGAACTCGGTTGCCTTTATCAGGATTTCACATGTGGCACTAACCAACAACGACTAAACAAGTCATCCAAAAGTACCTAAAAAACCCCAGTATTGAAAAGGAAAGAGGAAATTGGTTGCCTTTATCAGGTTGTTGAGATGAGAATGCTAAGGTGGATGAGTGGGTTTACACTACGAGACAAAATGCGAAACAAATATATCCTTGAAAGGGTTGGACTCCGGTGGCAAAAAAATATTAGAGAGAGATGCCTTAGATGGTTTGGTCACAGGTCTGATGACCCTGTTAGGAAAGTAGATATTTAGATTTGACTTATGCTAAGAAAGGTAGAAATATAGTTAAAAAGAATTGGGCATGTTGTATAAAAAATTATATTAACTTATTAGAATTAAATGAAAATATGACACTCAATAGGACAAAATGAAGAAAAAAGATTGATGCATCTGACCTCGTTAGTGGGATAAAAGCTTGTTATTATTGTTGTTATTGTTGTTGTTGTTTTTGTATTTATGAACTTCTTACTTACATTGAAATTTATCATTTCCTATAGCGTTGAGCCTTAACCCAAGCTTATAGATAGAGGGTCTAGGACATCGAATGAATTTATATCTAAAAATTGTATTGTTTGTATCTAGTTAATTCCAAAACTAATCACCCTAGATTCTCGTTTTCTCTCTACTTGTTATAATTTTTGCCATATTATTATTCCTTAGAAAATTTTAGTAAAATTAATGGACAAAATTAAATCCAACTGATCATACAATCATTTACATAAATAGCATGAAGGGATTAAAAAAAACTGGTAGTAGCCTTTGTGGTTAGCAGCTTTTAGATCATAACTGTTGATAGTTCTGAATGTTCCAGCTAATATTGCACAAGCTTGAAAAGTTGAACCTCCCAACCAAACCCAGATGTCCAATATTCCCTTACATTCACATCAGCCATAACATCTGGTCATTCACCCCTAAAACCCTGTGTCGGCCCGTGCTTTCTCACAAACATCCATGCAGACCGAGATTACCAAAAGTAGAACACAATTGAGATGGCTCATAATACTTTACAGTCGATATACATGCAGAATTTGGTCACGGAAGAAAAAGCAGAATGAAACAAGCCGAAATCCCTTAATTTGGGCATCATCAGATCATCTTTAATAGAAACTAATTCAGTCAGGCCCAAGTCAGTTTTATAGAAAATGTAAGAGATGACTAGAGACAACAAAGCATATATTATCGTTTACTCTAGAAAGAATAGTAGTCCAAACAGGGCCTCAGCAATTTTTCAAAAAAATCCATATTAGTTTGCTAATAAACTTTCTTGCGGTCAAGTTCCAGAGAACTTCACTAATTATAGCATTTAATAGAAAAAACAAGAAATATGAAGTAAACGACGTCGTTTTGAAAATACGGCGCCAACATTGTTTCATAATCACTCTCTCTATAGAAGAAATTAAGTATGAACCACCAATTAATTGAATATCATGATGGATTCAGGTAGAAAGAATGTTTGATAAGCTTCTGATACAGATGACCGAATAAAGTTAAATCATAGAAGTATTCTTAATAATAAATGCTGTAAGAATCTAATCATAGTTCTCATTCCAGATATCAAAACCTATAATCCATCCAGAAAGTTCCACTAGCAAGAATTTTGTTTCTACAAAATCCCATAGGCATCTAAATTGAGAGAAAAAACCTCAGCAAGATCAAGGCATAAAAAAAAAATTCTAAGGTATCCCACATTTCCATCCAGAAGAAAAGATGAGACAATTCCACATTATCAAGTCAAATAATATGATACTTACAAAATTCAAATTTTCTAAATCAAACATGTTTTGAAGACTATGCGTATGAAAAATATAATATACCTCCCCTGCTCCAAGTCTGAAATCACTGAAACCAAAAGAATCTATAACTTCAACTTGCAATCTCTGCTTTCTAGGGTTTGCAACAAATAGAATAAAATCCTGTTCAAAAGAAAATTCCAAATCATTGAATTAAAGGCAAAGAAACAATATATGGAAATATTTTTGCTACAAAAGAAGAATTTTATAATGAACACAATAATAAAAATAGGGCTTACTTGATTCCAGATTGGCTCCCCTGGTGGCCCAATGACAGTTGTTTGGCTGTTTTTTTTACTTCGAATCACTTGATTGCCTAGTCTTAAAACAACGTAAGGATCCGTCTTACCTGTAAATGCAATCAGGTAAAATAAATGATAGCATATATGATTAATTAAATACTAATGTGTACTTAAACTCAGAGCGGTTAAATCAAACAAACAATAAAAGGAATTTAATCCATGCTCCCTTGAAGTGACAGAATAATAAAATCCACTACATTCAATACTCAAGATGAGGCTCGAAATGCTCTCAAGCCAAATTCACGAGTACCAGTTTGACAATATTCATGCTTGCAACAACTGCCAGAATGGCAGGATTTATTTCAAAAAAAAAAAAACAAAGGTCACTAGAAAAGAAACTTTCAATTTAAATGAAATCTTACAGAATGCCTAAAAAGAATTCAGCTGTCGTAGCTCATTCGCGACCAAAAACAATGAATACATATGAAAGAAAATAGCAAAACAAAAGCAGCATAGATACCAATTCTCAGAAAAGCAAGTTTGCGAGCATCAACAAGAGTCACAGATAACTCCCCAACAAAATCTCTGTTTCCTTCTTCAGTTGTATCAGCTTTTAAGTTATCTGTAACAGGACCAAGAGCTTTGCCCTTCTGGAAATCAAGGACAATCTTTCTCGGACGAACAAAAAGTCCAGGCAAATCCTCCGTAAGAAGTTTTTTCAGAAACCTGGTAAAAAGGGATATTTAGTTTGATATGAAAAATGCATCACTCAGACTATCTATAAGCAGTAGATTTTAACATGTTCACAAGCAATAAATGCATTATCTATTCCCACTTCGAGGAACAAGTAGATATCCTTGATTTATCCAAAAGACAACGATATGCCAAGATTAAAATTTCACCAAGGAATGCACCAAATCTTGAAATTTTATGTACTTGAATACAGCTTATGTATGCTATTGTAGACATTATGGAAACGATGAGAATATTGGAGTGATTGAAGATAAATACTTCTAGTCAAGTAAAAAAAGAGCAATGTAGGACTGAGCAGTCTTGCCACAAGGTTGTAATGTATACACTTTTTTCAATTCCATGCAAGTCATGTGTGGACATTTGTATGGATATTGTATTAGGTTTGCCACAAACATTGAAAAAGAATGACACTAATTTTCTAATAACAAATCATATTTCCTAAATAACATATTACATATCATAGGATAAATTACTAATGCTTCTTGTATCATTATGTTCTATTTTAATGTAATCGTTAAATTACATGGCTTGCATAAAGCAAATATGACTAACAAAGAATTCATGAATCACTTATAGAGAAATCATCGAAAGAAAATTAATTACAACTTCAATTTTCAATAACTTATCATTCACAATTTGATGAACAAAATAAAAGGGTTAAAAGAAACTTGAAAAATGTGTTATATAGTTTGTTAAAAGACCATGTATCTAGATAGGATTTGAAAGTGACAATGCCTTAGTTTGTATACAATGGATCTACCAATAGATCTACTAGCATGAGTCCATTTGAAATTGTCAAAAGATTAAGTTTATTGATCTTGTTGACCTTATAATAGAATCCATGACTACGATTTGCACAATCTTTCACAAATATATGCACAGTTTGTTCAAAGACATTTGTAGAAAGTTGCTAAAAATTATGACAATTATTTATAATCTTCCAGTTGATGTTAACATGAGGTATATAGTTTTCCATCAAGAATTTCTAAGAAATTGAATGCAAAAAAACAACTATTTAAAATTTTGCAATGTATTGGATATGATGTCTACATATTTGAAATTCTAGAAAAATCTAGTATAAAGTCCACTTTCAATGTGTCTTGATTCCAAGAGTTTACTATCAATTCTATTGCGATCTTTTTTTATACATCTTGTGAATCCACTTGAAGTCTTCCATCAAAAATATTTATATATCTCGCTCTGCTATTTTAGATGATGAATTTGTTTGTATCCATCGGGAATGGTGGATTCCAGAGAAATCTTGTTAAAACTTGATTTTGCTAATTAATGGATTACTTTGTACGAAGCACATAATAAAAAAAATGTTTAGCTTGATAAATATAAAATGTTGAATTCAACATAACCAAATTTTGTTCAAGTCAAGTACATATAGAACCTTCATGTTTACTCTTGTTAAAAATGTCATTTAAGCAATGATCTAGGTACAACATAAACATGATAGTTTCTTTCGATTTGATTTTTTATTTTATTTTCATTTATGCAATTAAGAATGTGCCACTAATGATGTTCTTATATGGTTTGGTAAAATATTGTATTGATTCAATTTTAGATTAGTTTGCCAAAGATGCATGCAAGCTGATATTTCAAGCTTTGGAGAAGTAGTTTTCAGTAGCAATTAAAAAATCATTCGAGGCACCCACCTCAAGGGACTGAAAGATAGCCTCAAGGATTAAGCTTCTTTTTTTCAGGTGATGCTTATGCCCTTTTAAAAATTTTGAGGGAAGTCTTAGTTTTTAGGTTAAAATAAATTATCTTATACCACCATCCATGAATAACACAGATAATAGCCCGTGCATGTTAGGATTCGTGCTCAAGCATCGTCCCAAGTACAGCATCCACTTCACCACTTCGAGCATTGACGAGCCCGCTATCCACTTCACCACATTGAGCATAATCTCAAGCCCATTCCAGCATCTCAGCGTTAGCTTCTTCTCTATGCCAAAGCCGCGTCTAAGCCATGCAATGTAGAGCACAATCCCATCGAAGCTTCACTGTGTTCTTGCTTCAACTTCGTCTCTCTATCAAGCATCAAAGTCCCATCCAAGCCTCGCAACATCAAGCATCGAAGTCCGGTCCAAGCCTCACAGCGTTCCTTCTGAGGCCTCGCTTCATCTCTCTATTGAGCATCCTTGTCGGAGCCTCTTCATCTCCATTGTCTTCTTCTCTACCATCCATTGGATTTTTCCACCACTTTTCCCATCTTTATTGTGATTTTCCAGTGAGTTGCAGTCGATCCGAGTCTTTTGTGAAATTCTCGTAAGCTTCCCATTAGCTTTCCAAGTTTGATGCATTAATATATATATATATATATATATATATATATATATAAAATTTAGTATTTAGAAATAGGTGATACTTTCTTGATATTTAAAATTAATTAGGTTTATACATTCTAAAATATTATTTGAAATGTATAAATATGTTTGAAATTTAGATTTGAATGTTTTTTATTATTGTGATAGTTATAAATTGTTATAGATTCTTTAAAAAATTTAATATAATTAATTAACTATTTAAGAAAGAAGGCCAACTTTTTTTATAACAATCATTTTGTTGGTATAGATGAAACATGTTTGATTAATATCAAACCTTTGATGGGAAAGTGGGATCTTCTCAAAAAGAAACCAAGTTGGGAAAATATGGCAGATAATTATAATAAAATATAAAACACTAAAGGTTAAGAGTATAAGAAAAATGAGGAAATTTTAGTGAAATAAAGAATATTTGCTAGCAACATCAATAGGACATGAAGTGATTGTAATTAAAATGTAAATAATTCATTATTTATAAATAGCTAAGGAATGAAAAAATTTTATTAGTATTTTAATGTGCATAATATAATTGCACTAAATATTAATAGAATAAGTTTAAATAATCTTGAATATAATTTAGTTGATCTGATGTATTCCAAGTTTATTATTTGAGCCGTTAAGAGCAAGTATATTTCCTTAGTAATACAAAACTTTTTAAGGAATGTAAGAAATCATTTGCATAAAAATTATTTGCTTGTATATATTTAAATGTTGAAGCAAATGAAAAAGTGTCACACGAATTCAAGAAGAAATATGTTGAATATTTAAAGCATTATCACCACAAAAGAAATAGTGCACAAACATAGAGAAGGGATAATTGGGAATAGTTCTTATTTTGGTACTCAATTTGATTATTCTGATAGTGCAAGTAATTTACTTTCTTATAATAGAGGAAATCAAAAACCAATTGATAAATTTGTTGTGTGGATGGAGATGAAAATTGTGAGTGTGGATGGTTTCTCCTTTAACTTCTAAAAAAGAACATATCAATTGAGTATGTTTATATATTGTAAGATACTTTAATGAAAATGAAATTCAATGTTATGTGAATAGGAGTCATTCATAGATCAACATTTTTCACTTTATTGAGAATTATGGGTGAGGATTGAATCTTCATAGTATGTATAAGCTGTAAACTTGTATGTTGGATGACAATGTTAGAATAACAACAAAAACGGTTCATGAACTGAAGAAGAAATGGGTTGAGATATAAGTTATAATAATGTTTGATTGTTTTATTCAAATGTATCAAGCCATCCAATTTTATTATCTTAAAATCCTGAAAGAAAAAAAAAAAAAACTAGGAAATTCTAATTAATACCAAACTAAGAGCAAAAGTTATTGTTTAAAATATTATTGAACATGCTCATTAGGAAGAGGAGATATTAGTGTTACGAATTCTAAGTGATGAAGTTAAGTTAGTGTTAAACTTAAAAGATACTACTTGCAAAAATGAGGAAGTTAGTCATTCGACTAGTGAACGCGACAATGATATCGAGAAAATTTTCAACTCAACTTCTACTTATTTATTTGAGAGAATAACATAATATGTGCATGCATGGTTAGAATGTTTTTATTTTACTTATTATGCATGCTGCAGTTGATTGTGCACTTCTTTAACATTTAGCAAATTAACATGTTTTACTTTAAGATCTAATAAATTTATTTCTTCTTTTTTTACATAACATCAGGTGATGGCGATGAGATCCCTTTCAAATCGACCACTATCATTTTCAAGAGGTTGAAAAAAACTGACACGGGAGCTTACCGCTCAAAATTTTTGTGTTGTTGTAGCTACTATAGTACCGCGGGAATAGCTAGTTTGGGGGGAGGCATTGAAATAACCTCATTCATTCGACTAATGAATAAGATAATGATATTGAAAAAATTTTAAACACAACTTATACTTATTTATCTGAAAGAATAACATAACATGTGCGTACATGGTTAGAATGTTCTTATTTTACTTATTATGCATAATGTGGTTGATTGTGCACTTTTTTTCATTTAGCAAATTGACATGTTTTATTTGATGATTTAAAAAATGTATTTCTTCTTCTTTTAGATAACATCAAGTGGTGGCGATGAGGGCCCTTTCAAATCAACCACTACCATTTTCAAGATAATGAAAAAAACTAACACAGGAGCTCACCGCTCAAAATTTTTGTGGTATTGCAGCTGTTACAGTACCACGGGAATAGCTATTGTTGGGAAAGCGCCGAAATTACCCCATTTTAGTTATACTTTCTTTCCTCTTATCATTCATTTATTTATAGTCATTTCCTATATATGTATTGTATTCGAGTTTGGAAGTAAGTTTTTTTGTGTGTTTTGTATCGGAATAGCCACCAGCTTCTCTTCTTCCTTTAGAGAGTTGTATTTTATGGTCGTATCCTAGTTTCTTGGCGGTGATCATCTTCCCTACCCCTTCCCGCATCCCTCTCGCTTCGATACCATGCCTTCCTCATTGTTGCGGTCACCCCAATAGCAATCTCGTTCTTCCTGCAGTTCCTCACCGCCCAGCCATCCTTTTCGATGTCGAAGCTACTAGGCAATCCCCCTTGGGCTGTCTTGCATTCCCACGCCTTCATTGTCACTGCCATCGTCATTCCTGCATGCTGTCGCCACCCAGAAACACCCGTTCGAGCTGTTTTCTGCTGCTCCAAGCTCCCAGCCAGTTGTTTCCCCTCAACCCAGCTTGTTGTCATTGCTACAACGCCTCCACTTTATTGTTTTCCTGTTGTTCAGCCGTCCCTTGCTTCCCTACTGTTCCAACCGCCCATAATTGTTACCGCTCCTCATCCACAACCTGGAAACCCCATCCCTACCTTGTTGCTACCCCACCAAGCCCTCTAACCGTCGCCACCTTCACCCGGGCCGCCCGAACGTGAGTTTGCGTGTCTTGTGTGTTGTATTTTTTTCTCTCAAGTGTGTTTGATTGTAACCGCCTATTTGCTTCCAGTAATAATATTTGTTTTTCCTAATGTGGTTTGGGTTAACTTCAATATCAAAAACTACTTCCCGTCCTCACTACGAGATGAATGTGGTTTGGGTTAACTTCAATATCAAAAACTACCTCCCGTCCTCAATAGCAGTTTAATGTCACCATCACGACCACATCGATTTCACTACAACATAGTACTTCACCCATACAAACACCAACATATTACTCCCCAAATCATCCTAAAGCCTTGAAATTTTTAAACTTTCCGGACCTACCATATAACACCACCACCACCGCCATCATGTCAAACAAGTACTTCAATTCATGTTGAGCATAGTGTGGTTAGTACAAAATCATGCACTTACATTAAACCTGACGGAGATAAATAAGTATATAATTACTTCTCACTCACGTTTTATTTTAATATATACTTACGTTTTATTTTAATATATAATTTCTAACAATATTTTTTTGCAATTCATGTCCTTCCAAACAAGCCATACATAATATCAAAGGTATCACGTGGAGAAAATATGATGCAACATATTTATCTTAAAAAAAATTTCACTAAAAGTGTGCAACAAGAATCAGGGAATTTTAAGTATTAACTAAGCCATATTAACTTAAATTGTTGTTGATATTTTGTTTTTAATGAATCTAATAATATATTGAATATTACAAAAGTGATTTTGGTGGTTTATAGAGCATCAATAATTAATTAGAAGAGATTATGAGATTAGAGGTCCCACTCCCTTCGGTGATATGTTCACCAACATACACAAGTGAAGACAAAAACTGCTCTGAATTGGAGATGAAGTGTGGGCTGAGCTATGCGGAGTTTGAGCCTCCCCTAATTATTTTTGTAAAAGGGGTAGGCCAAACAAAATCAAACATCGGATTTTGGGGGCATGAGTAACTCTAAATATTAGAGGCTCAATTCCACATACCGAGTGTCAAAGAAGAATGGTAACGTGTAGGTACTGTATATTAATAAAATTTATAAACAATAAATACTAACTTTTAAAAAGGTTTATAGAAATAAGTAATTGGAAGATAACCCCCTGCAGTTGTATTGCATAATATAACATATCAACATTAGTGGATCAATTGTGGATCGACACCATGTTATAGAGATTCGACGAGTTTATGTAAACAAAGTATTTGTTCTTAAATTATAATCATTTACAAATATATTTTGTTTTTTTATCACAATACAATTTATTATAGGATGAATAATGAAGTTGAAGGAGATTTGAAGTTAAAGTTCAACAAGTGTAGGTAGTTCGAGTGCCTGTCCAAGCATTCAAAGTTTCATATCTTGGCAACGTAGGAAGTGGCATACAATGCACGAAATACTTTCTGTTGTGAGAGCCCTATTTTAATTGATGATTTGGTCAGAATGTGTCACAGCCACTACTCGGGGCATTGAGTTTCAAGTGAATGATTAGACAGAAGCTCAATGCGCTTTCATAAAAGCAAGGATGAAGCAGATATGCTCTGACAGATGTAGTACACGTGAAAAAAAACAAGTGGTAGAGTATGAGGAGCAGGAAGAAGATGAGGAAACAGATGAGCATTAGTATTTTCAAATTATTATTTTTGTGTTCATTGAGCAATTATAAGCAATAATATATCTTTTGGAAACAATTTCAATATATATATATATATATATATATATATAATGTGGTCATATAATGGTTGTGGTTATCTGATACTAGGCAATTGTGAGACTTCAACAAAATAGCTCATTATGTTTTTGTGTTGCAGATGCACAAATAACATTGTATAAGGCTCTTTAGATTTTTTTTCTTTCACCTAATAGCTTTCGACAGACTTTTGGTATAATTTTCGTCACAACACATTTTTGCGGTGAAACTTCAACCATTTCTTTTTTCTAAACCCTAAATTCTAAACTAATTTTACTAGTGGAAAAGGCCACTGAAAAATCAGAAGGCACAATTATGACCAATAAATCCAAGAGTATGCCGATTTTTTTGTTGCTCAAATTTTAGGCAACATTTGCCTCGCTTTTTTCCATCGACGTTTTTTTAGTGAAATATCGGTCGAAAATAGTCAAAAAAATTTTACGATGAAATTTCTTGTCATCAAAATGCATTTTCAATCAATAACTTTACGGAGGATTGAAATTCATAAGTATTTTTTCGGTAACACCAATTTCCGATGGAAATTTAATATTTTCCAGATGATTTTTTAGCTAGAAAGTGGTGATTTTCCAATAGTGCGTGTTGTAACTTGCCATATTTAGCAATACAAATGAGATTACGCTTTTTTTCAAACTTAGCATGGTGGCAAGCATGTTATATCTTCCTTCATCGACCTTGAAAGTGATGTGTTCTGTGATGATGGTGAACTGGTAGTTATCCTGCTAATTTCAACTTGTGTTTTCGTGATGATCATGTTCTTCTTCTACCAACAAAATATAGATCATGATACCAAGCACAACCAAATCAAATTGGGCTAGGAAGTGGTGTGTGAAAGGGAGGCAAAGAGAGAGAGAGGTAGAAAGAGATGCCTAACGCACTTCTAGAATAATTCAAGTTCACATCAATAGTTACCCTACTAATAAAAGTTACTCCACAAAATATTTGTTGCATAGGCAAAATCAAGTAAAACTAACTGATGAACAGAAACTAGTATAGAATTACACATTAGGATGAACTATATAGCATGTAAATAAAGTAAAGGAAAAGATCTTACATTGAAACAACAGGTACTCCTGGCAGAGAATGGCCAATTGCATGCAAATAAAAAGAAAAAAAGAGCTTCCATCAGACATAAAATAGCCCTAAATGTGAAAAAAAAAAGCTAATAAATAGTAATGGAAAGAAAAATAAGCCCAAAATATAAACTAATGTGTGCTCGGAAAGAAGAGATACACTTCACATGACCAAAAACAACAACAATAACAAGTTTTTATCCCACTAAGTGGGGTCGGCTACATGAATTTTCTACATGAATCTAAGTGGGGTCGGCTACATGAATTTTTTTTCTCCATTGTGTTCTATTGAGTGTCATATTTTCATTTAAATCTAATAAATTAAGATCATTTTTTATACAATATGCCTAAGTATTTATAGGTCTACATTTGTCTTTCTTAATATAAGTCGAATCTAAAACATTTACTCTCCTAACTGGATCATAAGAAGGTCAACGTTTAACGTGACCAAACCATCTAAAACGGCTCTCTCTAATTTTGTCTACCATCGGTGCTACACCAACCTTATCAAGAACATATTCATTTTGCATATTGTCTCTAAGTGTAAAGCCACTCATTCATATAAACATTCTCATCTCAGCAACACTTAACTTAGTTTTATGCTTCTCTTTTAAAGACCAGTATTTTAGCGCCATAGAGCATTGCAGGTCTCATTACCATCTTATAAAATTTTCCTTCCAGTCTAAGCCATACTTTTCTATCACACAATAAGCCCGAACCATTCCTCCGCTTCAACCAACCAACTTGAATTTTACTGATAACATCCTCATCCATATCACAATCACTTTTAAAAATAGACCCGAGATATCTAAAGCGTTCATACCTTTTAATAATTTGATTTTAATAATAATAATTTGATCACCCAAAGTTACAACTCTGTCACTAGAGCTACTAGTACTAAAATTACATTCCATATATTCAGTTTTAGTTCTATTCAGGTGAAGGCCTTTATACTCCAATGTAGACCTCCAAAATTCAATTTTTTCTTGAGCACTTTCTCTAGTCTTATCCACAAGAAGGTTATCATCAACGAAAAGCATACACCATGGTACATCCTCTTGTGAATGCCCAGTGAAAGCATCTATAACTAAAGAAAAAAGGTAAGCGCTTAAAGCCGATCCCTGATGTAATAGAACTTAAATAGAAAAATATTTGGTCAATCCTCCTTCTGTTCGAACACAAGCAACAGTTCTAGTATACATATCTTTAATGATTTGAATATAAGTCATACCAACATCTTTCTTCTCTAGAACTCTCCAAAGGACATCTCTTGGAATCTTATCGTAAGATTTTTCAAAATCAATAAAAATCACATGTAGATCCTCATTATTCTCTTTGTACTTCTCCAAAATAATGTGCTTCATTTTTTTGAAGTTTATCCTGATGTCTTTATTGTATCCGTGTAGTATGGCTTTTAAGCTTCACGTAAAATATCAGTTACGGTTATTCGAATTGTTTGTAACTGATATTTTAAGTGAAGCTTAAAATCAATGCTGCATGGTAACAGTAAAGAGATCAGGTTAAACTTCAGAAAAACAAAGTATATTATTTTACTACAAACATGTTTCCTTAAGCATCACTTTTATGAATGCATGCAAGCCAGTTTCCAAGTTAAAGACAGTAAAGATATTAATAGAGCTAGCACAAAGAAAGATTAAAGAAGGGTCCACAGTATAAACATGGCGATCACGCTGAATCTGTTTTATGGAACATAATAAACGCGGAAAAAATATCATAAACCCAACACTAAAAAAATTTCCAAAAGTTCAAAATAAAATATATGAAAATTTTAAAGAAAAATCTAAAAGATTCACTATTTAAATATTCACTTCAAATTTTCTATAAAGTGGTCTTATCCATCAATATTGTTGATACCTTTCAAAAAAATTTAAATTTATTACTGATCTAGAGTATGCCAAGAGTTGCTATGATTATAGAAAAAGTCATCAAATCAAAAACAAAAACTCAACTTTAAAAACCAACAAATTTTTTGAAACACCAATTACTGTAAGAAGTATCAGCAATTGAAAGGCCTCCAGCTTGACAGCATTTCCTTGTTTCCAATTATCCAAATATAACCATCATTTACTGCCAGAAGTATCAGTCATTGACAGGCTTCCAGCTTAATCGAACTACCTTGTTTCTATAACCCAACAATAGCCATGATATGCCTACTGAAATTAGTAAATGTATGAGCAGCATGCATAGAAAAACAGGCATAGAATATACATAACATGATGCAGGAGCAATTTGGAAGACTAGTTTGTGATAATCTTAGAACCTCCGTAACTAAGCATATCATAGTTATTTGAGTCGTTATATTGCTCCAACAAGTGTTGGACCATTTTTTTATGTCACAGGCCACATTGGACTTCTATATAATTTGGTTTTGTAGCAAGTATATAAATGATGGGAAGCTGGAAATTAGTAGGTATGACTAGTGTGGTTGGTTTGAGTATTCATTTTTGTATTTATTGGCCTCTTCTCATGATAGGAAGTCTCTTGTAACGCAAAATTCTTATTATATGGATGGACGAATGAATGTTGCTTCAGAAATAGACTTTAACAGGAAGATGGATTTCCCTTTTACCAAAACATGAAATTCAGGGCAAAGGAATGTTCATCGAAAAGAGAATTAACACACTGCATTCATCGCAAAGGACTATCTGAGAACTCATCTTGTACTATCACCTTTGCAGAAAGTTGACAGATTCTGGAGTAGACCAGCATGCACGAAGGCAATCAACATGGTTCTTGTTTTAACTTTACTTGAATCTTCCTTCTCTTTTCCCTTGTTTTCAATAAAAAAAATGTTTGTTCATTTTCTCCCCACATCAGATGTCATTTTATTCTTTGAGCTAACACTGAAGTTCAACTCAATAAATTTCCTTACCTTTGCTGCTAGCTTTTAGCACTATGAAATTCAATGGTAGATATAAGAATAAACAATCTAATCTTTTACCTCACATAAAAGGAAGCTAATATATCAAATACTATAATTTAAACCTTACATGAAAATAAATGAGAGCATCTTAGAACTAAGACGCAAAATGATGAGGTCACTTTATATATCTTTAAACTTAACTCCACATTAAATGATGTTTAAGCTACTGTCCTCATCGATAAAATACACAGCAGAAATCAACGATATTCATTGACGAAACTTCCACAGCTGCGCTTCTAAAGAAAAAAATAAATTAATAAAATTACCCATAAGGTTGAACAGACGAAAGGGTGACAGCTCAATCTTAATCCTTGGCAGGGAAACAAAAGCCCATGATACAGCACCAACATAGGGTTCTGTAGCTATTAATCGTAGTTTAACCCAAAGTTCCCCATCAATATCAAAATTACGAACACCAACAGGAACAACAATGACAATGATACCAAACTTCAAGGATAAGGAGAGCAACATGCGAGCTCCACCAGTATAACGAAGTCCAATATGGTACCTGCCAAGAATTTAAACACTCAGTGAACTGCTAGGATTTATCACATGTTCTTGATAAAGAAAAAATTGCATTCATAAATTTATAATATGTGTGTGTGCTTATATATATATATATATATATATA